TAGAGAACAATAGGTACGCATGACCACTTCCTTCACTGCACCCTCAATAAAAAGACTAGCTCCTTCATAGCACCTGCAGAAAAACATTTCTGGAGCCGCCACTGATGCCATCCAAACACACATAGGACTGCCAAAACCATTAAATCTGAGAGTAAAAAAAAACATCAGCATAAATAAACCACCTGGCTCAGTCACCGGTTCTATAAACAAATACTGAACATCCCTTCTTGTCATTTTAACTGAAATAGTGAGATAATTGAAGTGGGGATAAACAGACCCTCTGTAGGATGTCCTCAATCTTTGTGACATGGATAAATGTAGCTGTCTTTAACAGCTCTCCCACACACACTCGTAATGAATGCAACGAACGTCCGCTGTAGCGTCAGCACATTATTACACAGTTAAATCAAACGTACTATTAATAACAAGCAAGTGGGTGAATCCAGTATCTTTGCTCATACAGATAAACAAAAGAAGTGTTTAGTTATTTTTTACCTGTTTTGCTTCTAACTGACTGATATGAATGGGTTCTCTCTAGCTGAATCACTTGGGAAAGAAGAAACCAAATCTTGGCTGAATGCCATTGCACATCTTCAGTGAGTGCTATCATCAATACTCCTCTCTCTGAGTGTTTTATATTGCAGTTTCTTTCAAATGTGTTCTTTTTTGTCCAAAAATGACACCAGAGGTGTCTTTGCACCTTCCACTACCGTGTGATTTCTACTGGTTTTCTTCCCTCCCTTTATTCCATTTCTGCCTGGAGTTTTTCCACCTGTACGTCTCGATCATTTCAGCTCTGCTATCACATCTCTCTTCGTTTTCACTGCACCTGTCATCCCCCTCTTCTATCTAACCCTTCCTATTTATATTCACAACTCTGTTAGTCTCTTGTCTGAGTGGTCTGACGGCTCGTTTTACAACATCAGATGGAAGCAATTTCTAGTCACAGATTATATGATTAAAACATTTTTAAGTTACCACATTAAAAGTTCCAAACACATTCAAAGTTTAAGTTGATGCTTGTTTTGGAGAGACACATGTTTTAAGTATGAGCTTTAAAGCAGAGGTGCCCAATCCTGGTTCTGGAGGGCCGGTATCCAGCAGGTTTTGTGGTTTTTCTGCTCCAACAGACTTGATTCAGTGGTTGAAACACCTGTGTAGCAGCTCATCAGGCTCTGCAGAAGCCTGTTAATTAGCTGCTGATTGAAACCAGGTGTGTTGAAACAGAGTTCAACCCAAAACATGCAGGATACCGGCCCTCCAGGACCAGGATTGGGCACCCCTGCTTTAAAGGGATACTAGGCAGTTTTGCTTGCTTTTAGCACCCCTAGTGTCCGTTATTAATTTACTGTGTTCAAACCGAAAATGAAACTTATCTCCCTGCTGTGCGTTCTTCTTTTTAACATCTTAACCCTTTAACCCTCCCGGCTTCCTCATGGGTGACCCCGTGAGGAAAGTTGACCATTGAGCAGGATTGATGGTTTATCCCTTGAGGTCCATATGGCAGGGGTGAGGTGGTGCTCACTCCTCACCCCTGCCATATGGACCTCAAGGGATAAACCATCAATACTGTTCAATGGTCAACTTTCCTCGCAGGGTCACCCACGAGGACGGCGGGAAGGTTAAGGGCCAAAGTCACCATAAGCGTCATGCTGATTTTAAAGAGCCACAGCTACAAATACGGTTCCTCATGAAGTTACTACTTTACACCAGAAGACAGTGGAGATGTGTGACTTCAGGCTGAGCAACACTTATGGCTGTGTTTACATTGAAAGTTTTGGAGTTTTTACAGTTTGAAAACTGCCTCCCGCTGAGAGGTTCTTGGTCGGGGAGAGGAGGAGAGGAGGAGGTGAACGCAGCACAAAGAGGACGAGCAATCAGAGGGGAAAAAAACTTACAATTGCCGGCAGGTCTGGTCTTTGTTGACCTTTGTTGAGCTTTTTGTCTGGTAATGACTGACTCTGATTATGAAGCAGAATATTGACTCTCAGATGAAGAAATTCACTCATCTAACCTGAAAAATTGGCGCGGCTGCAGCGCGCATCATCACACTGATGTTGCTGCACTTACAAGCTCCAACCGTTGGGTTTGACATTTGTTTCACTGTCTTTGGGACAAGATGGATGTAGAAATGATGGTAAAAACTGTGGTAATGTGACAGACCTAGTGGCAATGTAAAAAAAATATGCCGTAAAAAGCAGCAGATGCCGATGCGTTATATATGGAAGTCAAAGTGTGCCACATAATTGGGACGGGTACCGAATTCTGTACTTTTTAAGGTACCGACCGAATTCCATAGTACCGACCGAGCACCGATTCATGTCATTTCAAAAGGTGCCTCGTTTCAGTACCCGTCCTTCATAACGAGAACTTGCCTAGACAGCTGCGCATGTGCAAGAGCGTTATGTCGTCGGTCGCTGCGAGCGAGTTGTAAACAGAGCAGCATGGTAGAAAGGACGCACGCTAAAGCTTGGGTCCACTTCACTAAATGTGATGGGTAACTGGGTGATGATGAAACCAGCGACAACGATCTAAGTGTGACATTATCATCTTAATCTGCTCCCGTAGGTAAATAAAATGTTTAAGATAACGTTAGCGTGATATGTTAGCTTCCGTTTCGCTAATGATGCGTTCGCTTTCTCCTCGGAACTCCGAATTTCCGACTAGAAGAACATGAACGCGCTCTAAAGTTTGGCTTCACTTTACTAAGTGCGACGGGTGATTGGGTGAAGATGAAACCAGCAACAACAATCTAAGTGTGAGGCATCATCGTTTTAATCTGCTCCAGCAGCTAAATAAACTGTTTAAGATAACGTTAGCTTGATATGTTAGCTTCCATTGCCACCATTGTTATCAGCTTCTCCTCGGAAATTCTAACTTCCCAGTAGGAAAAATCAAATGAACAAGGACGGCAAAAGGAATGAAGATACACAGTAAATGTAGTTCACAGTAAAGATGTTTGCTTCAGTTTAATTATCAGATTATAAAACTACAAGGACGAAGTTAAAATACAAACAGTTGTATGTTATTTATCGTGATATTTATCAAATATGGTTATATATTGAAAAAAAAATATTTATTTATAAAAGAGAATTAAAATAATAAACACTCAAAAGTAGTGAAAATTGGTAGCATTAAGTACCGGTATCGATTCCTAGGTACTGGGAATAAGTACCAAATCAATTCAAATGTCAAAGGTACCCATCCCTACATAATCATAAAAATCAAATAAAAATATTTAATTAATTTAAAAAGAGCTTTAAATATACATAAATAAATACAAAATTTCTAAATATTATAGACATTTGTAAATATGTAAAAATAAGACGGAACATCTGTAAAAAGTTATGCATTCCGATGTGGCAGCCTGATGACATCATCATAAGAAAATTAGATGATTGAATTTGTTCCCAACACAAACTTTGGGTCCTTCTGAAGATTTTTCTCATTTACAGTTTACCTTTATCTCCAACCATTTCCAAGCTACAACCTTTTGAAATAGTCATGTTAAATTGAATACTTTCTTGAAAAAACTCTGGCACCCGAAGGGTTAATCTAATATCTGAAACATCTCCCCAGGCTTCATTAGTGTCTACAGGAGTGGCTCATCTTTAAATCAAACAAATCAGTTGTGTTCATGATCTAAAACACGCAGGAACGTGCTGCAAGCAGACTCCAGCTCCACCATGTCAGCTCCACTCCACTCCACAACTCCTTCCACCAGCAGGGAACGGTCTGCCAACTCTGAAGCTGCAGGTGCGGTATTCTGGCCACAGAGGGCAGTGGGGTCTGAGAGAGATTTCATTAACCCTGTAAAGGTTAATTTTAGCACATACTGGCTCAAGAAAATGATTTAAAATATTAAAATGTTGCATAGTATGCCTTTAAAGTAATACTAGATAGTTTTTAAACCATTAAGCTGGAGCTTTAACATTGATCTCAGTGATTGTTGTGTTAGAAACTTGACCAGTTTCATATTTGACAACACTCTGCAGCCCTCTGCTGACCAGTCACTGCACCTAACAGTTTTGAGGACTAGGCAGGTGCCCTAGGAGTTGCTCTTTACCTGCTTTACGGCTCCAAGCTGTAATGCTAGCAGTTAGCGTTTTCATTTTGTCGATAGTAAAAAGCGCACGAAAAAGGAAAAAAGAAGTTTGCTTTTTCTGTTGGCATCATACCAGAGTCTGGAAGTAAAAGTAAGAGAATAATGTCCTTGGAGGCAAAGCAAAGCACTAAAACTGGAGTAAACATTGACGTGGCCTACACTAGGTTGAGGAAGCTAAAGGTAGCTACAAAATCACTGATGGTGACCTGGCTTTGTTGCTACTGGACTTGTAAGTAATACATTATTTTTTGTGTGGATCTTTTTACTTTGTGGTTTATTTGAGTATTCATTAGATTATGTTAGTGTTAGCCTGTTGTTAGCACTAGCTACAGCAGGCTGCAGGAGGGTTGTTCAATACAGTTGTAATTCCACTTTCAACCAGTAGGGCAGAGAAGCAGGAAATAGCTCTGTGTTAGTTTAATGCATATTTGGAAACATTTTAGGTTATTTTGAAACCCATAAAGCAGGGGTATTAAATTCCGGGCCTCGAGAGCCGCTATCCAACATGTTTTAGTGACTTGTCTGGTCCAACACTAGATTCAGTGGTTGAATCACCTGTGCAGCAGCTCATCAGGCTGTACAGAAGCCTGTTAATCACCTACTAATTGAAATCAGGTGTGTTGAAGCAGGGTTAAAACCAAACTGTGCTGGAGACCGGCCCTCGAGGCCTGGAATTCAATAGCGCTGCCATAGAGGATTGAAAATAATGGTGGTTATACTTTTATCCTCCAAATGACTGAAGACAAGCAACTGTTGTTTGCATTTTAAAAACAAATAATAATTTGGGAATTATTGTTGGGAAATGTGGTATTTGGTAGCAGGATGTTTTTACAAAAGGTTCTAAAACAACAAATCAAAGTAAGACACTGAAAGCTTTCCTTGCAGGTTTGGTTACCTGGAGAAGCAGGTCTGACGCAGGCTTGATCCGCTGCTGGAACAAAACACCCAGCGCCCGATTCTGCTGCTCTAAGTCGAAAACTCTTGTTCGCAGCTTCAGGCATTCCTCTCTCAAATCCTGGAGCAACAGAGAATGATGTTTTTACCAATATTTTATCCGTACCGTTTTAAAATATTCAGGCAAAAATGTCATTTAAAGCACAAAACAAAACATTTTTTCAACAAAATAAACACTTTTGAAATTAACAGTAAAATGGATTTCAAAGGAATAAACAAACCTTTTGTGTTAGAAGTGCCTGCACAACTTGATTGGCAACCTTAAAGAAGCAGAAAAACAACAGATTATTGAAACATTTACTTCAGTGAGCCGTCTCCGGTTTTCTACGTTGCAGCAGAAATGAGTTGCTCTACTCTTACACTGCTATACAGTACGGGCTCTCACTTCCTAATTGTTGTATTGACAACTCTGAATTGGTGTAGAAGCAGGAAAGCGATTGTTTTAAGTGCTGCTGTGCCTGCTGCTCAGGTCTCACAGCAGCTCACACGTCAGACCACAAGGCCGATGAAGACGCAGCTCCGATTGCCGCGCATCGATTGCTCATTAGCAGCGTGTGAAGCCGCATCGGCTCTTTGGAGAGCTCCCACTCTGGATTATTGAATGGAAGTGAGACAGAAGTAAATATGGTGAAATGAGCCCTGTTTCTGGTTACCAACATGCCTCCTGCACTGTACAATTGAAAGATGAACTATTTGACTTAATAGGCTCTGACCTGGATTGCACTGACTGTATGACTTGTGCACGAGCGGGAAAAAGAATCTCGTTGAACTGGATCAGTGCTGAACCTTAAACATAAGAAAACTCTTGACTAATAAACACAACAAAGTCGAGAAATCTCAGAACAGAGTCAAGGAGTGAATTTTCAACAAAAACAATCCATGACGAATGTAATTCGCCTTCCTCATCCTCTTTCTTTCATCTCATGGTTTTTAACGCCTCACACCAAGCGCTTTGGTTCCGGCACAAATTGGACAAACTTCCCTGTGGCGGTACTTCTGCAGGGAGCAGGAATGCTTCATCTTCATGGTGCAACTCCCTGAACAGAACTTATCGAGCTTTCCCAAATAACTCGAGGGCATGTAAGTGCTATTGTTGCTTCAGACTCTCTGCTCCGACCAAGTTAAGGTATTAAGCAGCTCTTTCTGTCCCCATGTGTGACTGAATATAAACAACTGCAGACGAGCCAGTTGGGTATTTGTAATCAGCCATTTTTGTTACACAGTTGGTTATATCTAACATTTACGAAGAGTGGTGGAAAAGCCAAAACCGTCTCTAAACTATGGTGGCCCAGAGGGTTCAGTGAAATACAAAAGCCACAACAGCAGCAAAACACTGCAACACAACAACAGAACTAAACGTTATGAAAGAAAGAAAGAAAGAAAGAAAGAAAGAAAGAAAGAAAGAAAGAAAGAAAGAAAGAAAGAAAGAAAGAAAGAAAGAAAGAAAGAAAGAAAGAAAGAAAGAAAGATAGGTGTTTAGCACTATCTCGTTTCTTCTGGCAATGCAGGTTCCAATAGGGGTGTGTGGCCTACGGAGGGGTGAGAGCTCCGGACCGAGTTAGCGTTCCAAAACTAGCTTGTTGCTATTGCAGCTCTAAAATGAACTCAAATGATGTGATTTTTTTTCTTTTAAATTTATTCAAATTTTGTAAACTCTTATTTGGGCTAAAGATGACACATGTGATCGAAACATGTAATTTTTAACAAATCACATGTCATCTTTGCCACGTTTTCAAATGAATAAAAGTTTCAATTGATTTCCTTGTTATTCCTATTTTATTCACCTTAACCTTTTTTCTACTAATCTGTTCATAAGATTTTAGTACCAGAAAACTGAGCCAGCCTCCCAAATGAATTGTTAGCATTCAACCCACCAGTAAATCCCATTCTCTCAGATAACCGTTCTAATGTGCAGGACCTCATTAAAACTCTCCTCTGCTATGACATTTGTTCCCTTTAGGCAAAACAAAGCCAGCTTACAGATTTTTCTAAGGATGTAAAACGTTGGCTGAGGACAGCTCACCTCATCCAGACAGCGTTCATACTGCTCCCTCTGGCTCTCATTCTCTAAGGCCAAGGCGGAGTTCTCCTCCTGCAAAAACAACAGACTCTTAAGTCACACATCATCCAACAAAACAGATACAGAGACATATGTAAGTAAGTCATCGAGCAGCAGAGCACAGACTTCCCTTACAAAGGTCAGATGTCAGCTTGGAGCTGGGACGGCCAAGAAAAAAAATCTCCAGTGCAACAGGGAGAAAGGTCAAGGGGATGGAAGTTATGATGCTGAACTTTTGTGCTGCAGGAGTTTGGACCTAATAAGAATATCTCCTCTGCTCGCCAAGCACCGAGACGGCGCTCTATCGATCTCTGGGAGTTTCCAATTTGTCAAAGGCAGGCTGCGTATTAGGAGCTGTCAGCCTCCTCGCTCAGCGCGCCCTCTGACCTTTCAGCAGAAACTTTCAGGCTCTCAGCAAAAACACGGAAAACATAATTACGACCAACGAGGCTGTCGTGGGCTGACTAATTAAAGCTTTGCAGATTTAATGAATAACCAAAGTAATTAAAGGCAGAGTGTGTCATAATGTCGGCAGGACATTTTTAGCAGAGACTCGTGGGAGGGAACTCCCTGATGTCTTACTCAGCATCTAATATTGGTAAGAAATAAAAAAGACACATTTTAACCATAACAGGAGATAAAGAACATGACATTTTAAAGCGTGTGGATTAGTCAGCACTGCACCCACACTAAACTGTATTTTTGAATTTCCAGCATCAAAACGAGGAGTTTATGAAAACTTTGTATCATAGCTAACAAATAAGAAGGTGTTTGATGTTCTTTCCAACAAAAACAAAAGGCTAATTTATTAACATCACTTAATCTCACTGTTGCCTAAAGTTGTGTCTGAATAAATGAGACATTCTGACTCCTTTTGTTGCACAACAAAGATATTCAGAAAAGAGTTGGGCTCGGGGAGGGGCAGCAATCATAAAAAGGTGACTACTGGCTTGTTGTCCTTGCTTAGGGGCACTACTGTATCTGTGTCCTTTTTTTTTTTTTTTTTTTGCTTGTTTTTGTTGGCCCTTAAAGTATAAACAAACATGCAACTTCAGCATTGAAGCAATGCAACTGGTGTTTGCAAAATAATATTTAGGTTTTGAATAGAGTGATCTGCAGGCGTTAATGGATGAAGAGCAAAGTCACTGGCTAAATCAGAAGTTAGATTGGAGCTCATTGGTCAATGTCCAGCATTAAAATGCAAACCAGGACAAAAATTTTCACACTGGTGCCAGAGTTACTCTCCCCCAAGAGAAATTGCACTAATCTTTTTATTTTCACATTATTTGAGATTGAAAATTATAAGAAAAGATGACAAATATTTTTATATTATTTATAACATATTTTTTTCTGGGAAAACCCTGATCTCTTTTTGTAAATGTTAAAGTCCAATAGAAGCTTAACTTCCTCTTCATTTTTACTACCATCTCTTGTGAGACTAAGGATGTAAGAAAATATCGATACACTGAAATATTGCGATATTTCATGTTATGATACTGAATCGATATTTACAAGAAGCACATATATGTTTTTTAGAGAATTTACGTGTGAACATTTACTGTATTTATTTTTTGTGTGGTGAATTTCTAACTCTGCTAGGTGGCAACAGATTTTACACCCTTCTTTCTGACAGAATGAGGTTTCGCGGTAACGGTGGATGTGTCTCGGAAAGGGTCTGGCCTGAGTTTTCCTAATAAGTTCAGTCTAAAAAAAGGACAAATGTAATCTGGCGTTTAGCATTGCACTATATCAGTTAGCCTATTGTGATACTGTATCGTCAGAATCTTGCCAATACACACCCAATGAAGAAGACGATGAAGAAAAAGAAACAAATTTTATGTAACACCTCTTAAGATAAAAATCATGAACCCCTGTGGGAGATATACGATTTTCAGCTGGACGATAATTAATGTTTGAGAAGGAAATAAAAAAATACATTGTTAATTTTGGGCCAGATACTGTTGCAAGTGTTGTTGTAAAATATCATTTTTATTTATCGCAATTTTTTGTGAGACCCATTAATATAGCAAAATGCATGTTTTCCTAATATTGGCAACCCTAACGAATTTTCATTAAATATCGATGCAACTTTAAAGGAGTGCATTATTCATTTAATCAATGCATTTGCAGTGGTCTCTAGTAGAAATAAATGCCTTGCAGGCAATACTCAGGGCACACAAAATCCCAAAAAAACCCGGTTCACCAGGGCCAAGTCTGCAACATCACAGCTGAGCTTCAGACGGCAGGTTTTAGTCTTATTTCCTGATGTTTGGACATCTCGCCATGGATTGGTTAACAGCAACACGACTCTACCACGGACTTGCAATGTTAATGTTTTATAACACAAACGTGGAGCTTCTGCTGTGTGGTGGAGTTGCTAATGCGAATGGTTAGCTTAAATTAGCAGAGACATCCGCTTCTGATTATTGGACGTAAAAAAAACAACAGCCTTCCCCATTAAGTGACAATGTGATGTAGAGTTTCCCCTCTATTTTCTATCAGAAGCTAAAGCAGGAGATAGGTGTAGGAGACTATTTTCATGTTCAGCTTGCACAAAAAACTCAGAGTGATTGATTATAATCAGTCAAAACATTCAAAAAATGTTTTTTTCAGTCAACCACATCTTTAAAAAGTAGTGATACAGTTTGACCCTGATGAATTACATACCTTTTCCAATCAGTAAAACTTGCATTCACGCATGAAGACCTCAGCTAATAATGGTTATCATGGAATTTGACGATTTGTCCTGTTGCACTGTGAGTTCCATTTCTAAATCAAATTTAAAGCAAGATGACCGTTAGTCTCCCCCTAAATCTTTTTCATTTTCCCTCTTTCAACCCCAGATCTAGGCTGCTGCGCGTTCCCAAAAAGCTAATGAGCAGCATCAGTGGAGCTGCAGGAGTCCAAGGTGAGCACAGCTTCCTTAGTGTCAGAGGAGTTTATGCACAATATGAGGCAGTGATGAATGGTCTCTGTTTTGTTCTTCCAGCTTCAGCCGGCGGCGCATCCATCACCCACGCAGCCAAATGGAATGAAAATGGCAGATACATTTTGATTAAGCTGTAGGAATGCTGAAGGAATGGGTTAACAGCAATTGTCCCTCCGGACTCAAAATAACGAAACTATTATCTGGTGCTTTATTTGTAATCAGGATCTATTTTAAATTTTTTAAAGTACAAAATGATGTCCTTGATTTTTTTTTTTTGGACAGTAATTCTTATTAAAGCACATGAAGCTACAGAGGGTTGAAAATGTACGACTGGAGGCCTTATTTAATTAAGTCCGAGACCTTTATTTGCCAAGGAGATCTAAAGAGTGTGTGTCCAGTGGCTTCTCGGATCACTCCGGTTGCACTTGGACTCAGCAGCTTGAGGCGATGAAATCCCAGAGAGCAGAGATAAACTAACCAAAGCTGGAATACGACCCCAGCGGCGACTCTCACTGGATGGCTTTGCTCTCCAAACACAAAGGATTTGATGGGCTGTCATGCTTTAAGAGATGACAAGGAGCCTGACAATTGGCAGATAGTCTGAGGGGTGAGGAGGAACAAAGGGAGAGGGAGGAGAAGGAGATGGTTGTGCGGTAGCTACCTCCAGGGTCTTCAGGCGCTCTAGAAGGAGCTTGGTTTTGTCTTTGTCCTCCTCAGCTTGGCCGACTTCGCATTCGGGATCCGCTACGGTCGCCGGCAGGGCGCCATTCTCCTCGGTCTGCTTCTGCACTTCCTCAGAGAGTTTATCCTGACGAGGAGAAAACGGAACGAGGTTAGAGGTGCAGAAGGGAGGGGGAATTTGGCAAGTGAAAACAGAAGCAGATGGGGAGGAGAGCGTTCAAAGTAGAGCCAAGACAAATGGTTTAAAGAGGGATAAAAAAATAAATAAATGAGGGAGGAATGAAAGACAGGAGTAGGTAGGAAGGAGAAAGTGAGATAAGAAAAAAGGAAGAAGATCAGATGGGCAGATGGAACAACAGCTTCCACAACAGAGCTCCAAAACATCCCCTAATCCCTAATCATGTTTCACTTGTTTGCTAAAGAGTGGCAGTGACCTTCAGGGCTCTTCAGTCTGTATTCTGGGGATCCGTTCCTCTCCCTCCTCACCCTCACCGTGGATTCGTCTCCGTCTCCATGCCAGCTGTCTTTCACTGTCTATCCTTTCTTTCTGTGTTTTTTTGGTTTTGTTTTCAGCTTTCTAGCAACTGTGATCATTAATTACTGGTGGTAATTAGCTGCTAATTGGGCTGTGAATGACTGGCGAGCAGCAAACTGCAGAGAGAGATCAGTGCGGCCTCCGCATCAAGTCTTTGGGTTACATTTGGAGCCTTGAGTCTCTGATCGATTCCCAATAAAAAATATGTAGCGGAAACAGATAAGTGCAGTCTCTGAGACCTGTCGAGCAAAGCTGGAGCAGTTGCTCGATTGGCTTCATAAAGAGCATGACTGATTAATAGAAGTTGAGTATCTTTGAGCTTTTTAGAAAAATGACGACCTTCAAGTAAATTTATTATTAGTTATTACCTCTTGCTGGACGAAAACTGGGCTTGTTTCTGCTCTTTTTTTTTCTGAAAGTGTTTCTAAAAAGTCGAGATGAAATTTCTAATGAAAATCTCAGCTTTTCATCAAAATTGCAAACTAACATCATGCTATGATACAAAAAAACCTAATGAAATAAGGATCTCACACTTGATTATCAAACCGATCTGCTGGCATCTGGAGCATGTGCTGGGGATGACATCCAACTACATAAAATACCATCTTTTAGCTCAACAGCTGCACAGCTGCAAGAATGGTGGTATGAAGTGTAGTAGCGACTTCAGAGTAGGAAATAATTCAAAAGAAACGCTCCCCAAAGTCGGACCTCCCTGTTGGAAACTGAAGAATTCCAGAACTCCGACCTCGACATCCAAAATGGCAGCTCCCATATCAACAACAGTAAGTTTAGGTTGAAATGTGTTTACAAGACACGCTTTTAAGAGTGCATTTAAAATCAGTTATACATTTATTTTACTTGTCTAGTGCTGTATTTTTTGTTGTTTTTATACACTACTGTTACGACTCCTGAGTTCCTGAGCTCATTTAAAAGCAATTCAACTCATCCTGGTTCAGGACCCTGGACAGCACCCTCCAGCTCTTGCCCCTCTATGCTGTTCAGAGGATCAGCACCACGGAGAGGGGCACACTGAGACTCCTCCACACCTGCCTGCCCAGCTGCGGTTGATCAGGAATCACCCTCATGCCTCTACAAAAAGGGAGCCGCTGCAGTTCACCAGAGAGCTTCGTGAAGCAGAAAGAAAGAAGTCGAGAGGGAGGCAGGAAAAGGAGGAGGCCGACAACGACGAGAGCGGCGAGAACAACAGAGAGTGATGTCAAAGACAACAACAGTAAGAGAAGAATAAAGGAGCACTGGGAGGTGAAAGGAAACTGATTTCAAGTGACAGAGAGAGGAGGAAGACTTCCCTATCCACCACCTTCAACCTGCCACCGACAAAACCCGAGCTGCCAGGAGAGGATCACCTGGAGCTGTTGAGAAAAGAGCGCAAGATGCTGGCTCCTAGCTGAGCCGTAGTTGCGGGACTGATTCTTTATTTCACTTTTACGATTAGTTAACTAAGTTGGACCTCTGCCCTTTTGTTGAGTTTGCCATTTCAGAGTTTATTTACAGAGACACCTTTTGTTAATAAAATTCCTGTAAGATAATACCTACTCCCCTATTTTGCTCCCACCACACTTGTGTTGCCCCTCCTGGCAATTCCTAGGCCAGGAAGGGTGTAACCACCATATTTTTCTGTCCTTACATTAGTGGAAATCTGATTATGTAAAAAGGATACGCATACAAAAGCTAGGCTTCAACCTTTAGGTTTCTTTTTGTGACTTCTGCATAATTGTGTTACCTTTTCTTATTTTAAAAAAGACAAAATTAATGAATAAAATAAATAAATTAATAAATTAAATAAAATCAATGTTACACATAGCGCTTGCAACTTAAAGCTTCTCTTTAAATATTTTTGAAGATGGGCTTTATTGTGTTAGTCATCTGCGTTTGCCGAGAACTAACAAAAAGCAGTTTTCGAGGGCGTTGTCAGTTCGGATTCCCGACCTTTCCGACTATGGCAACCGGAACTCGGGTAACTCTGGTGTGATGTCATTCCCAGTTCCGAGGTAAATGGAATGCACCATTAATTGGCTACTTTTGAGCATCCAGCACTAGGCCTCTGAGAGCTGTGTTGTGCCTGCATGACTTCATTGAATGATAGTCAACTCTCATTTGTAAAAATCGTGGCATTAAAAGACTGAAGGCCAATACCGATAATTTTTATAAGAAATTTCAATGCCGATTTTCTAATAATGAAATATGAAACCATACCATAGTTTATTTATATAGCAAATTTAAAATGCAGCATGGGAGCTACCCAAAATGCTGCACAGGCTAAACCAAAACACAACCAATCTAAGCAACTAAAACAGAAGATAAAAACACCAATCAAAAGCAGATAAAATGTGAGGAATACTGAGAACACGATAAAACACTAAAACGAGTCACTGTCTAAAAGCCACATCATAGAAGTGGGTCTTTAAACAAGATTTAAAAACCGCCAGTGATGGAGCATCCTTATTGAAAATAAACTACAAAAATTCTCTCAAAAATTCAATTTGCAGCTGCAATCATACTTATAGAACTCTAATAGGAAGATCATTAACACCAGATCTTTGTTTAAAATGTTAGATTGGCACTAAATCACACAAATAGGCTGCTATAAATCTTAGTGTGATTTTGGTTACTATCATCACTTTAAAATGTGTGTACTTGTTGGCTAACAGGTTGGGTTTGGAAATGGGTCGTTTCTGTATTACCATTTGAAATGACAAAAAGACAGTTTAATGAAAAACCAACCCTTCACCATTTTTGTTCTACAAAAACAGCCAGAGGACAAACATGACCAGCTATCTCTATTTTCTGAGTAAAACCATTAGAAATCCATTATGACATCTTATTTCTGTTGCGGGTTGATCGTGGCGCACAATTTGTTGGTGTCTTGGATCTGCTCGACATAACTAATGCAGTGTTGAGGTTTACAGTCAGACAAACATAAAATGACACATTGTATCAGACTGATTTGCTGCCCCCTAGTGGTGAACATAATAACTTTTTGAATACTGTTTTGAGTGTTTTTATCATGGCCTTTGTCAATCTCCCTAGACTGGATTTATGATTCTGAGGACATTTAAAAGTTAAAGTCCCATTAGTTGTCACACACACTGATGTGTGTGCAAAATTTGCTCTCCTCGTTTGACCCATCCCCTGGGGGAGCGGTGAGCTGCAGACACGGCCGTGCTCGGGAACTATTTGGTGGTTTAACCCCCCAATCCAACCCCTTAATGCTGAGTGTCAAGCAGGGAGGCATTGGGTCCCATTTTCTCAAAGTCTTTGGTATGAACCGACCAGGAATCGAACCCTGATCTCCCAGTCTCAGGGTAGACACTCTACCACTAGGCCACCGAGCTGGTTGTGGCCACTCAGGTTTACATGGTGTGTGTAATCTGGACTTCCCAGGGAGTCATCCATCTCTATGTGGGGACAATCTGAAACAATTTATCATAACAAACGTGTTTCTCTGCATCACACTCCGTCTTTCTATTAAAATACAAACAATCTGATGCCTTACATAAAAATTAATATCCTGTTCTGATTTTAAAGTAATTCATAGAGAAGCAAGAGGTTCGTTGTTTGTTTGGTTCCTCAGTTTGGCTTCATTGTCGCAACACTTTTATTTACCAACTTTCAGGGTACTTTAATGTTTCTTTAAAAGCAATCGCCTCAGGCTTTGTGAGGTTAATGTGTTTCTGCTTTCATTTCCCTCTGTAAATTAGCATTTCAATGTTTTAAGGCTGTTTTTCTTCTTTTATTCTTAAACCCAAACATTCATTGTGAATATGAAGAAATCAGTACTGAAAACGAAGAGATCCAAAAGCAGAACATTTACTAAAATGTACCCTTTTACCTTTTGAATGCCTTTGAGCAATAGAAGTGGCTTAAAGTTTGCAAAACAAACACCAAACTTTTAATTACAAGAATTACAATAACATGTGTTCTTATTAAAGGCACACTTGGCAGTTTTAGCTTGCTTTTAGCACCCCCTAGTGTCTGTTTAGGAGAACAAAAAGCTAAACTTCTCTCCTTGCTGTGCGTTCGTCCTTTTAGCACCTTACTCTAACTGTAAAATTGTCTCCCAGGGTTCATTAGTGTCTACTGGAGTGACAATAAACAAATTGGCTGTGTTCAAATATGCAAGCAACATGCTGGAAGTAGACTGCAGCGCCAGGTATGTCAGCTTCATTTTCTTCCAAGTCCACAGGTGGTGACCCGACATTCTGAAGTTGCAAGTGTGAAATTCTGGCCACAAAGGACGATAGGGGTCTGAGTGACATTTCAGTACCCCTGTAAAGGGTCATTTTAGCACATACTAGCTCAAGAACATGATTTTAAAATATGAAAAATAAGCTAAATGTCCCTTTAAAATGACTTTTCCTCATTTTGCTGCCTTCTTAAAGGTTTTCCAACCCCGCTGTATGACGTTAAACTGGTAAAAGTCCACAGAGTTTTATCTGTCATTGCACTCGAGTTAAATACTTAATTTCTGTGACAGATGGCTGTCAAACCTGCAGATATCTTTGGTTAATGTGCAGCTGAAAGCCCAGATCTACAGCTCTGATGAATGGCCACAACACCACTTGTATCCAAAT